CGTCATCCGTCTCCTCATCCTCCCCGCCTGGCCGATGGCCGCCGATGGCCACCGAGGGCCGCCCATGGCCGCCGATGCCTACCGAAGGCCCCCCCTTGCAATCGAAGTCTGCTGATGGACGCCGCCCCGATGACTGCCGACGGCCGCCAAAGGCCGCGTCCTTGAGCGCGTCGTAGGCGAAGTAGCCCTGCCGCCGCGCGTCACGCGCGAGGGGTGCACAGATGCAAAGGGGCGACTGGTGGCCTGCAGAGGACGTCTCCTCAACGTCCTCCTCCTCCTCCTCCTCCTCCTCCTCCTCCTCCTCCTCCTCCTCCTCCTCCTCCTCAGCACCATCATCTTCATCATCATCAGCATCATCAGCATCATCAGCATCCTCATCATCATCAGCGTCAGCCGCAGAAGCCGCATCAGCACCATCATCAGCATCATCATCAGCAGCATCATCACCGTCATCAGCATCATCAGCAGCATCACCATCATCACCCGCATCAGCCTTAGCATCATCAGCAGCAGCAGCACCATCATCAGCATCATCAGCAGCATCATCATCTCATCACCATCATCATCATCATCATCATCATCATCAGCAGCAGCAGCAGCAGCAGCAACAGCATCAGTATCATCATCCTCAGCGGGATACGCATCGGCATCATCATCAGCAACATCATCATTGTCAGCATCATCAGTATCATCATCAGCATCCTCATCACCATCATCATCGTCATCATCATCAGCAGCATCATCATCAGAGTCATCCTCCTCCTCTTCCTCCCCATCTGCCGCCTCCTCATCTCAACCTCACCCTCCTCATCCTCATCCTCATCCTCATCCTCGGCTTGCTCCTCTTCCCCCAGTCATTGTCCCACCTGTCGCACCCCGAAGCGTGTCGGCAGGGCGGGCCGGGCGGTCCGCCTGGGCGTTACGCTGCACGTGTGCAAGAGCTTCACGGTTGGCAGGCGGGCAGTTCTCAAAATGTGGCCCTCGCCGCAGCACCGCTGCGCATTCGTCTTCGAAAACTGCAAGGGCTTCACGGTTGGAGGGTCAAAATGCCGATCTCGCCTACGCGCCGCGCACACGCGTGCTAAAAACTTGCAAGAACTTCACGGGTGGAGGGCGGGCAGTTTTCAAAATGTAGATCTCGCCTTAGCCCACTGGGGCCTTAGGTGGAGCTCCCGATGGGGCCACGAAACGCCGTACTGGGTGTGGCAGACGCATGTGGTACCCCCCCCCCCTGGGGCTTTAGGTGGAGCTCCCTGTGGGGCCACGAAACGCCGTACTGGGTGTGGCGGACGCATGTGGTACCCCCCCCCCCCCTGGGGCCTTCGGTGGAGCTCCCTATGGGGCCACGAAACGCCGTACTGGGTGTGGCGGACGCATGTGGTACCCCCCCCCCTTGGGGCCTTAGGTGGAGCTTCCTATGGGGCCACGAAACGAACGAATGCTTGTGTCGGACGCATGTGGTACCCCCCCTCCCTGGGGCCTTAGGTGGAGCCCCCCCTATGGGGTCACGAGACGCCGAACTGGGTGTGGCGGACGCATGTGGTACCCCCCCCTGGGGCCTTAGGTGGAGCTCCCTATGGGGCCACGAAACGCCGAACTGGGTGTGGCGGACGCATGTGGTGCCCCCCCCTGGGGCCCTAGGTGGAGCTCCCTATGGAGGAGGAGGAGGAGGAGGAGGAGGAGGAGGAGGAGGAGTGAGTGGATGGATGGGACGCGGGGCGCTGTCTCTTCAAAACGAGGACCCAACACCACAGGAGGGTTGGGAAAAAAACCGAACACGGATCCAGGAAATCCGAGATCGGATCCGCGCGGACGGAAATCGGATCCACCGAAACAAACACTAGAGCCACACTCGGATCCGCGCGAACCTCATGGGATCCGGCGGCGGTCATCTCACACGCGCCTGCTCGAGATCTGAGGCCGTCGTTCCGGGCCCAAAAAGGAAAAAAAAAAAAAAAAAAAAAAAAAAAATTATGCTAACGGAGTTCCCCACATAAAGACATTTCACGGTCTCGTGGGACCCATGGGGTACGACAACATCAACACGAAGGAGAAGCTGGAGAGGCGGGGCCTCCCTGGGGAGGTGGAGGTGGGAAGGGCACGAAACCATGTAAATAGTATAGTTTTCGGACACCCTCCTCGCTCAGGCGGGGCCTCCCTGCAGGGGTGGGAGGGGCACGAAACCATGTAAATAGTATAGCTTTCCGATACCCTCCTCGCTCAGGCGGGGCCTCCCTGGAGAGGTGGGAGGGGCACGAAACCATGTAAATGTTTGGTTTTCGGATACCCTCCTCGCTCAGGCGGGGCCTCCCTGGAGGGTGGGAGGGGCACGAAACCATGTAAATAGTATGGTTTCCGATACCCTCCTCGCTCAGGCGGGGCCTCCCTGGAGGGGTGGGAGGGGCACGAAACCATGTAAATAGTATGGTTTCCGATACCCTCCTCGCTCAGGCGGGGCCTCCCTGGAGGGGTGGGAGGGGCACGAAACCATGTAAATAGTATGGTATTCCGATACCCTCCTCGCTCAGGCGGGGCCTCCCTGGAGGGGTGGGAGGGGCACGAAACCATGTAAATAGTATGGTTTCCGATACCCTCCTCGCTCAGGCGGGGCCTCCCTGGAGGGGTGGGAGGGGCACGAAACCATGTAAATAGTATGGTTTTCCGATACCCTCCTCGCTCAGGCGGGGCCTCCCTGGAGGGGTGGGAGGGGCACGAAACCATGTAAATAGTATGGTATTCCGATACCCTCCTCGCTCAGGCGGGGCCTCCCTGGAGGGGTGGGAGGGGCACGAAACCATGTAAATAGTATGGTATTCCGATACCCTCCTCGCTCAGGCGGGGCCTCCCTGGAGGGGTGGGAGGGGCACGAAACCATGTAAATAGTATGGTATTCCGATACCCTCCTCGCTCAGGCGGGGCCTCCCTGGAGGGGTGGGAGGGGCACGAAACCATGTAAATAGTATGGTTTTCCGATACCCTCCTCGCTCAGGCGGGGCCTCCCTGGAGGGGTGGGAGGGGCACGAAACCATGTAAATAGTATGGTTTCCGATACCCTCCTCGCTCAGGCGGGGCCTCCCTGGAGGGGTGGGAGGGGCACGAAACCATGTAAATAGTATGGTTTCCGATACCCTCCTCGCTCAGGCGGGGCCTCCCTGGAGGGGTGGGAGGGGCACGAAACCATGTAAGTAGTATGGTTTTCGGTATGGAGTGGTATGGAATGGTATGGTAGGTATGGTATGGTACGGTATGGTATGATATGGTATGGTATGGTACTGGAGGTATGGTATGGTATGGTACGGTGTGGCATTGGTGTGATATGGTATGGTATGCTATGGTACGCCATGGTATGGTATGGTACGGTATGGTACGTATGGTGTGGTATGGTATGGTATGGTATGGTATGGTATGTGTGGTAGGAACTATGGTATGGTATGGTGTGTGTGGTAGGAATAATATTGTGCTGTATGGAAGATGGAGCGGGAGGTGGGTGGGAAGGAGAGGGTGTTCTGGGAAAACAAGAACCCCACTCAGGATGTGGGGGGGAAAAAAAAAAAAAAAAAAAAAAACTGTCGTCCCTGGGGGGGCAGAAACCCCTCCTCTGCACTACTCCTTCCTCAACATCCCCCGGGCCCAAGAGGAAAAAACTGTCGTCTCTGGGGGGGCAGAAACCCCTCCTCTGCACTATTCCTTCCTCAACATCCCCCTCCTCGTCCTCCTCCTCCTCCTCCTCCTCCTCCTCGTCCTCCTCCTCATCCTCGTCCTCCTCCTCCTCGTCCTCCTCCTCCTCCGCCTTGTCGTTGCAGGTGGCTCTTCCTGGCCGCAACGTCAGACGCGCCGGCAAGGCAGGCTGGGCGTCTCGCTCGCAGGCGTCCTCGAGGGCCGCAGTCGAAAGGCCAGGCGCTTGCAGCAACGATGCACGACAGATGCGTGTCGTGGCCACCCTGGCATTGGTTCCTGACACCGCGTGGGTCGTGCAATCTTGAACGATCAACCTTGAACGCCCACGGTCAACCTTGAACGCCCGCGACGGGGTCGCCGCCGCGTCGACACGGCGCGAACCTACCGTACATGGACGGGGGCTGGATCGCTTGCAGAATCGCGCCCTCGCCTCGGCACCGCGGCCAGACTTCTGAACAGCGTCACAAAGGGATCCTGGTGTTTGCTTCAACACTCCCACGAGTGGAGCGCAGCGACGCGGTTGCAAACAAGAAGCACGTCCCCGCCTGGACTGCGAGGCGGGAACCGACGTCCTGCGACCCCAGCGGGCAGCGGACATGGATACAGTATGGCCCCAGGGAGCCCGAATACGTCCATATCCACAGACTGCCGAGGTCTCCGCAGATCGATTTACCAGGCGGCAGTTGTGGATTAATCCCCGCCCCGGATGGCTGCCGCGGGCGTCAATCTCAAAACGCCTCCATCAGCTGCAAGTGGGGAAGGCAGACCACCGTCGAGCTCACTTTGCTTGGGCACTCCGGATCTCATAATAAGGGGGGGGGTCTACTTTTGGGGGGGGTCTAACGGGCCTCGTCCAGCAAGATTTCGGGGGGGTCTCGCTTTTGGACCCTCATTTGCCTCCCAAGGGGGGGTCTACTTCGGGTTGTCATGCAAATCGTTTGGGAGGGTCTACAAGTTGTCGACATCTGATGATGACTTGGGGGGGGTTCAGCTCCACGCCAGTCGCAAGCTCCCTGACGACGACGCCGACGCCGACGACCACGACGCCCGCGACAGCGACGACCACCGCGACGACGACGCCGACGCCGACGCCGAGGACAACAAAGCAGACGATGACGAAGAAGACGAGGACGACGACGACGACGACGATGACAACGAGTCCGACTACCGGGACGACGACGACGACGACGACGATCACGCCGTTGACGACGCAGAGAACGACCACGGTAGCAAACGACAACGACACGGATGACGACGAAAACCACGACGAACCCGACGACGACGATGACACCGACGACGACACCCACGAAGATGACGACGACACCGCGACGACAAGAACGAATACGACGACGACGACGACGACGACGACGACGACGACGACGACGACGCCGACGACGACGACGACACGGACGACGGCGAGGAAAATGACGAGGACGACGACAATCCCGACGACAACGATGAAGACGGGGACACCGACGACAAGGACGCCGACCCAGGAGCGCGGACGCGTCCACACAATTTCCAAATCCACACTTGACATGAAGGAAAACCTTCCGACAAACATAGGATTATAACTTTTCAGCGCGGAAAAGAAAACACGACGACGGGTCCATGCTGATATTGATGCTCATGATGACCGTGTGAAGGATGCCGTTGCTGTTATCGTCGTCGTCGGTGTTGTCGTCACCGTCGTCGTCGCCGCCGTCATCGTCGCCGTCGTCGCCTCATTGTAGTAGTCGTGGTCGTCGTCGATGTCGTCACTGGCGCCATCGTCGGCGTCGTCGTCGTCTTTCTGGGGGGGTCCAACAATTTGCGCCTCAACGCTTCTCTGTGGGGGGGGGTCTAGATACAAATGTCAAACGATGCTTCTGGGGGGGTCTGAATCTTGGTGCGGTTGCGCCGCTCTTGGGGGGGGTCCCGAACGAGCCGTCAAACACGTTTGTGACCCCCCCCACACGATTGTGAGATCTGGAGTACGTTATGTTGTCGATTGTGGCCGTTACTCCGCCAGCAGGAGTAGACCCAACAAAATCCGCCACTGCGTCTCCTGGCAAGCTACAGCGTGTTAGAGTGCTGCGCGCTTCTCGGCCTCAAAGTCAGTCAAGAAGCCCCTTGACGATACAAGAGAGCTCCCACACGGCGTCAATTATGCAACCAAGCGATCGACTAACAAATCGGGCAGGCAGGATCCAAAACATAGCTGTTCCTCGCCTGGGTCGCTGGCTGCGGCCTGGCGGCCACGATGGCGGCGACGACGACGATAAGCTGGGAGTGCCTCTGAAATCTTCCACTTCTCAGCGAGGCACTACGACCCTCACCCCTGGGCATTTCTTGATTGTGAGGCGAGCACCCCACGAAGGTCCCTTCTGCCAACGCTGTCCCCCAGCGATGACCTCGTCGGTGCACGCTATTCCCCCTTGCCAGGGCTTCCTCCGTGCACGCTGTCTCCAAGGTGGGGGGCTGACGGATGGTAGGCGGGCCGCTGACGCCACATCGCACGTCATCTCTGCAACGCCAACCGTATGTCCGAGGCTCCGAGAACACGCGCATACGCCTCGAGAGAGCGCAGGAAGGCCCAGCAGCCCCCAGGGAAGCCCCAGGAGGGCCGCAGGGAGGCCCTGCAGAGGCCGCAGAGGCTTCCACTGCAGATCAAGGAACGGCATGAGACATGCTAGGTGGCAACTTATGGGAGCCTCCCATACCATCTTGTCGGCTCTTGCGAATCGACGCTAGTCAACGCGAAACCGACGCTAGTGGACGCTACATCGACGCTCATCGACGCTAATCGACGCTAACCGACGCTAACCGACGCCAAATCGGCGCTGTCTCATCGACTCCTGGACGCTACTCGACGCGAGTCGACGCGAATGACAGAATTAAAAGGGTAGACCAGGCTCCCACGATTTGCCACCGAGGACACGACTTGTTGGTGCGTCGGCGGCTGGGCAGGGGGACGTCTGCGCTGGCGACGGGATGCCTAACTGAGTAGTCGAAGCCAATCTGGCGCCAATCTAGCAGGCCCAATCTGGCAAACGGGGGCAATCTGGCGAGGGAGCCAACGCGAATCCAGTCTGGCGAATAACCCAAATCATCCAGTTTGGCCGGGCCAGATTGGCCCTTGGGGCCCAGTCCAATCTGACAGTCTGGCCTTCGACTACCCAGCCTAAGGGGGATGCCGTTAGAGCGAATTGTGCCACCATGCACGAAGAGGAGCGGGGGGAGGCCGCGGCCGAAAGAGGGGCGGACGGAGCGAGCGGCGCAGGGGGGGGGGACGGATCGCTCCCCGAGCGGGCGGCGCGGCCACTACCAAGGGGCCCAGGGACACACAAATAAGTACACACAAGTAGCAGGACTCCCCAGATTTATCCATATTCTTAGGGTTGTTGCCTTCCCCCCCACTTCCCAGATTTTCCCATGTTTTCCTGGGAGTCGACGATTCATTGTGTCTGTGTGTTTCTTTTCCTCCTGACACTAGAGGACATGAAAACAAGCCCTCGGAGATCCGCGCGGACCTCGAGGGCCTGCGCTGGAGACCCCCGCTCCCCCACCGCGCGGCACGCGCCGGGCAGCGGCGCCCAAGGCGCGGTCGAGACGTTGGGGGGGGGGAGGGCGGCCAAGCGCAGACTGAGGTCGGCCACGTCATCCTGCAGGCGGATCTGGGAAGAAAAATTAAAGAGATAGTCAAGACTGCCCCCCCCCCCCAAAAAAAAAAAAACACGAAGAAGGGTCACCACTATTGCTTCCTGACTCTTCTTGAACATACTCCTCCTGTGGAGGGACACGCCCGACTGGAGCGCAGACCCCGGAAACCCGCGCGGGCATCCCAAAGTTCGCGTTCGTGCCCGCTGTGTGTTCTACCCCGAGAGCCCCACCCCCTCCGAGAGCCAGGCAGGGCGGGCCTCCGCTGCACCGAACCGCGACGCCGCAGCGGATCGGAAGCGGACCCCATCGCCAGCGCAGCGGCGGCCCGAGGCGAGCCGAAAGCGGATCGCAGCGCACGGCTCCGGCCAGCCCTGGCCGATGCCAGCCGACATCGAATCGTAGCAGGATCGAGGCCCCGGCCAGCGAATCGAATCGCATCGCCTCGGCTCGCAGGCGGCCCTGCACGGCGCCCGGGGGGGACGCGCAGGGCCCCGCGGCTCCACGGCGCGCGATATCTATACATATATATATATATATATATATACAGGTGTATGTGTATACAAATATAACTATAAATATATACATATATATATATATACAAGACTGCATTGGCGCTGCGCGCCATGCACCATGGTCCTTTGAGTTCTGCACGCAAGCGAAATGCGTGCGTGCGTACATGCGCGCATGCATGTATACGCGCGCACGTGCATGCACGTTCCTTATTAATGTCTAGGTGTATGCAATATACTTACATTGTTGTATGTGTACACAGCGTACATATGTACATATAAATGTATGTGTGTATGGGTACGAACATGCATATGCAACTCGTACGGGGCATCCTCGGGCATCTTCGCTGCATAACACGAGACCCTCAACGACTGGGTCACAATGTGAAATGTCATGGGAGCAAAACCAATACATGTTGGCACTCGGAAACATCGTGGGGGTGTTTTCGGGGCCCTCGTGGGCCGTTTTGGCGCCTTCATGGGCCGTCCTGGGGTCTTCTTGGGCCGTCTTGGGGAGCTTGGGCCCGCTGGAGCCCCCTTTGGACCCATCTTGGGCACTTCCGGGGACCTCCCATGGCCCTTTTGGATCTGTGCTGGGAGCCCTTGGGGGGCCTCTTGGTTCCATTATGGGCTGTCTTGGGGCTCTCGTGGGCAATCGTGGGGCCCGGCTCGGCCGTCTTGAAGCTTTCTTGGGGGCCTTTTGGAGCGTCTTGAGGCGATCTCGGGGGCTTTGAAACCGTCTTGAAAGCTGATGACATCTGAAAGGCGAATATGCAAAAATTGTAAGTTTTACGAGGGGAATGGGACGATTTTTGTGCTTTGAAGGCCCCTTGGAAAGCTTTGTGGGGTGCCTTGGGGGTATTTATGTTGGCATTAGGAAACATCGTGGGGGTGCTTTCGGGGCCCTCGTGGGCCGTTTTGGCACCTTCATGGGCCGTCCTGGAGCCTTCTTGGGCCATCTGGGGGAGCTTGGGCCCGCTGGAGCCCCCTTTGGACCCATCTTGGGCACTTCCGGGGACCTCCCATGGCCCTTTTGGATCTGTGCTGGGAGCCCTTGGGGGGCCTCTTGCTTCCATTATGGGCTGTCTTGGGGCTCTCGTGGGCGATCGTGGGGCCCGGCTCGGCCGTCTTGAAGCTTTCTTGGGGGCCTTTTGGATCGTCTTGAGACGATCTCGGGGGCTTTGACACCGTCTTGAAAGCTGATGACATCCGAAAGGCGAATATGCTAAAATTTTAAGTTTTACGAGGGGAATGGGACGATTTTGTGCTTTGAAGGCCCCTTGAAAAGTTTTTTGGGGTGCCTTGGGGGTCTTTATGTTGGCATTCGGAAACATCGTGGGGGTGCTTTCGGGGCCCTCGTGGGCCGTTTTGGCACCTTCATGGGCCGTCCTGGGGCCTTCTTGGGCCGTCTTGGGGAGCTTGGGCCCGCTGGAGCCCCCTTTGGACCCATCTTGGGCACTTCCAGGGACCTCCCATGGCCCTTTTGGGTCTGTGCTGGGAGCCCTTGGGGGCCTCTTGGTTCCATTATGGGTTGTCTTGGGGCTCTCGTGGGCGATCGTGGAGCCCGGCTCGGCCGTCTTTTTTTTTTGTTTCAACGGTCGGGAGTGCGATCGTTGCTTGTCGTCAAATGATTTCCCACGTCCCTGGCATCATCATTCTGCCTAACAGACAGGCTGATGGACCTCTGGAAGATCTCAACAACGACGACGCCGCTGTTGCTCTATCTGTAGCAGGGAGATGTCGCTGACAGGAGACTGAGCCTCGGCGGCCAGCAGGTCGCACGTGTGCCCGGCGCGCTTCTTGCCCAGCAGTGTGCCCCCGGCTCGCGCCGCGGACGCGGCTCGCGATCGCCCTCGCTGCGACCAAAAAAGGTATCCAGCGCACAGTGGAGGGTTTCTCCGAAGGGCTTCGGCGACCCGTCCTCCTCCTCCTCCTCCTCCGCCTCCTCGTCTCCTTCTCCTTCTCCTTCTCCTATTGGCTCCTATTGGCTATGTGGCTGTCCGTTACCGCTGATCGATAAGGCAGCCCAAAAACAGTACCGAAGGCAAGGGCAAATAATGGGTTCAGGCGGTGGCGGACGTCCAACCCGCGTGAGCCGACCATTTCAACGGGGATGACCTCCCAAAGCTCGCTCCTGAGCTGGGGTCGATCCCATTTCTGAGAAGTCTAGAACGGGCAGCACGGTTGCGAGGACCTTTCTCATCATATATCTGGTACGAGAGAAAACATACGTTTGCTTCTCGGGATCCTCTTGGAGGTCCCCTTGGGCAAGCATCGTGCTGTGAGTCCGCCACATGCTTGCGTAGCAGGTACGCCGCGCCCGAGCCCCATTTCAGCTGGCGTCTCCTCGCCCAAGCGCCCGGAGACATGCTGAGACACTGACGCCGCCGTGCCCGAGGCCCCGGACGCCGCCGCGCCGCGGCAGACACGAGAGAGGCCACGGCTCCGCCGTCGACCACACAAGGTCTGCCGCGACGCGGCCTGGCGGCGAGGCGGCCCGTCGCCGCCGAGGCGGCAGGGCGCTGCCAAACGTGGCAGCGTGGAACGGCCCAGCGGCGCTGGATCGGTGGCAAGAGGGAACAGCACTGAGCTTATGCACAGACCTGCTATTCGCGGTGTGCAGACATTCTCCGCTCTCGAGAACATGGGCTCCTGCTATTGAACGCACTGCGGGCCGAGCCTCCTGGTGCTGGGAAGCCCTGCAACACCACGCGCCTTCCATTCCGCCTGGAAGACTGGAGCGCTGACTCCACAGAAGAGGGATGGCTGGGCGAGGAGCTGCTGCGCCAGCGGCCAGGAGAGAAGCGAGGAGGCAGGAGGAGGAGGAGTATGGATAAACGAGAGGTGCCGACAGGATGAGGTCGGTAGCGTTGTTCCCACGAAATAGAAAGGAGCGCTCTGTAGGAATCCTTAGGAACCTGTAGACAAACTCGCCGCTCGGGCCCATGGAAAATCCGAACTTACTCTCGGAGGCGATGGGAAATCCGCACTCGCTCGTTCGAGCGAGACGAACTCCATGGACTCGTGAATCGCTCTGCTGCGATTGGCTATGACTCGAAGAACCGACACAACAGCGCCACCGCGCCCGCTCGGGGTGGCTGTCGTGCACGCCCAGGGCGCCAAAACTGGGGCACTCTCGCCTCCGGCGGAGCTACCCTCTATCAGGCTACGACCTCCTCTTGGGGACCTCGGCCTGCGGCGGCGATTCCTTGGGCTCGTCGCCCCGGCTCCCGTCGTCGCTCGAACGCCGCCCGCCCCCTTCCTCCACGACGCCCGCCGAGGGCGCGCTGCCCTCCGCCGGCGGCTTTCCTCTCTCCGCGGCGTCCGCCGTCTCTCCCTTGGCGTCCTCCGCGTGGTCCTCCTCCTCCTCCTCCTCCTCAGAGAATAGCTCGTGGTACTTCGCCCGCGCGTAGAACCTCACCAGGTACACGAAGGCTGCGAGGAGGAAGCCGGCGGACAGGAAGAGGACCACCGCCTGCATCTCCTGCGTGGAGCTCCACGCGTCGGTCGCGAGGACGGAGGCGCATATCAGGCTGCAGCAAGTGAATAGGAGAGAGAGTCCTTCTGCGTCGTTGAGCTTCTGGTACTTGTACGGTCGGAGTCGCATGTGTGCACCAAGGAACACGGTCATCGTGAAGAGTGCCATGGCTAATTTGGAAGATGGGCTGTATGTGGTTGGAGCCAGAGTCGCGGTGACAGCGAGCACAGTAGTCTTGGTGAGACGGAAAGCCTCCCAAGACTGCCGCCCCTCAGTGTGGGACCCTGTGATGAACTTCATTGCGTGGTCGTGCACCGAATTGCGAATCAGGAAGATCCAAAGTAGCGGCCCTGCCACAATGGCACCAGAAGCCAAAGGCACCGTGATCATCGAATACCTCGCCCTGCCGCTGCAACTTGCCAGTGACTCGTGTGAAAGCCAGCTCTCAGCAGGCGCAAGGGGATCGTCCGGGTGCACCTGTGTGTGGTAGCACGGGAGCGAGCGGGCGCACGCTGCGGTGATGAGTGGCACGAACTGGTTGGTCGCCACGATGTAGCACACCATGAGGCTGCCTGGCGTGTACTTGGCCCGGAACCACTGGATTAACTGCGCCGTCATCGCCAGGAGCATCGCAATGGCTGCCTGAGCAAACACAAGGCCGACAACGCTCAGGGGCCCGATCTGTTGCTCGCCGCCGTTGACTAAGCAGTCGAGGCTGGACGCAAAAGCCGTGGCGTCACCTCCCGAAGCGTGAATGCCCATGCTGAGAACTCCTCTGACACCATCGGGCATCCTGCGGAACACAGGCGTTGCGTCTATGGTCGACGCGACGAGAGCAGAGGCGGAGGTGAACGCTAGCAAGATCTTCAGCGCATCGTTCGAGAAAGCTGCGGATGCCCCCCTGCGCGCGGCGTCAAACGCACTGCGGAGGGAGGCCGCGTAGAGCATGATCGGCACTCCAAGCCACGCGAGCCACTGAAGAATCTGGTGGCCACACTGCTCACAGATGAAGGGATCAGCGTTACTGCGTCCAAAACCAATTGTGCAAGAAGCGCATCCGGGTGTTGTCGAATTGTACCCTTCCTGGCACTGTGCCTCTGCACGCAGTGTTTCGCAGTTGTCCGCAGCCTTGCTGCGGGGGTCCACGTTCAGCTCGACAACGCTATGAGGACAAGCTATGCTGTTAGGGCAGCGATGAGCTGACGTGCCGTTCTTCTGATATTGTATCGTAGCTCCTTCTGGCACGTTGATCAGCCAGTCGCTAACATATATATATATATATATATATATATCCATCTTGACTTGCTTGCTCAGGTGCATCGTGCAGGATTTCTCCACCAAGGCCTTATCTTTTAATTGCTTGGCCACCTTCATCTCTTTTTCCGCCTTCTCAGTGTCCTTGATCGCTCGCTGGCTTTTATTGAGAGCTTCTTCCTCCTTCTTTCGGGCGCGTTTCAGTTGTCCTTTTGCAAAACGTTCCCTACGCTTCACATCTTTAAGTTCATGCCGCACCACAATTGCACTGTTGTTTGCAATGTGCGTACTCGCTTCCAACGCCTTAATGCACTCCTTCAATTCTCCCACCGTCACGGAGGTGTAATCAGGTAACTTGTCAATATTTTTTAGGAGGCTCTGGCATTCTGGCGTCAACTGAACCTGGGCCTTGGCCTCGAGGGCGGGCCCTTCCTCGTTGCCGACACCCTCCTCGCCTCCGGCCCTCTGCATGCTCCCGCCGGGGGCCCGCTGTGGCCTCGCGCCCGATCTCGACGAAACGCTCGCGGTAGGCCGCCCGCCTGTCCAGGCCTGCTTCTCCTCCAAGCCCGCGGTCGTCCCGCCCTGTGCGGCGCCACCAGACAGCTGGCCCCGCGAGTCCACGGCGAGCACCTCCCTGCGAACCAGGGCGCTCCCGCGCCCTCCCTGCGCGGAGCGCGCGCGCGCGGGCGGGCAGAGGAGCAGCGCCGCGGCCAGCAAGGTGAGCCGCCGAGGTCGCTCGGGGAACGCCATGGGCACGGCGCGCTTCTCTGCGTCGGCGTTGTGACCAGCTCTCGCGCGCGCTCGCGCGGGCGTGCGGGCGCACGACGGCGAGCTTGAGCCAAAATGGCTACGCAAGCCCGGCTCGGCCGTCTTGAAGCTTTCTTGGGGGCCTTTTGGGGCGTCTGGAGGCAATCTCGGGGGTTTTGAAACCGTCTTGAAAGCTGATGAAGTCCGAAAGGCGAATATGCTAAAATCCCACCAGCCCTTTGGGCGTGAGTGGTTTAGCGAGCTCTCTCTGTCCTCAACCCCCCTTCTTCCCCTTCGGGTAGGGGTTTACCCCTCCCCCTACCCCCTCCCCCTGGGCCTGGAGAGGGGGTCCCGCGGGTCGTCAGGGGGGTCAATTTCGACTCCTGGGAGGGCTAAAAAACGACGACCCTCACGAGGATTCTGGCCCCGACGGGGGGGCGGAGATAAGTCCCTCTCCTCTTCTGTGAAGCCAAAAACATTGATTTTACTATGGTTTTGGCCCCATTTTGGACTTCTGAGGGGGCAGCGCTCATCGTCCTTCATAGCAAAATCATTGAGTTTACGAAGGTTTTGGCCTCATTTTGTCCTTCTCAGGGGGCAGCTCTTCTTTGCGCTTCTGAGGAGGTCGCAAGAGGCCCCAAGATGTCCCCAAGAGGCCCCCAGGAGGCTCCCAAGAGGCCTCCAAGAGACCCCCCAGAGGCCCCCAAGCGGCCCCAAGAGGCCCCCAAGAGGCCCCCAAGAGGCCCCCAAGAGGCCCCAAGAGGCCCCAAGAGGCCCCCAAGAGGCCCCCAAGAGGCCCCCAAGAGGCCCCCAAGAGGCCCCAAGAGGCTCCAAGAGGCCCCCAAGAGGCCCCACGAGGAGCCCGAACGACTCACACCAGGACGAGGGGCCCGAACGACTCACACCACGAAGAGCCCGAACGACTCACACCACAAGGAGGGGCCCGAACGACTCACACCAGGACGAGGCGCCCGAACGACTCACACCACGAGGAGCCCGAACGACTCACACCACGACGCGGGCCCCGAACGACTCACACTACTACTACTTCTACCTCTACTATTACTACTTCTACGCATGGTGGTACGGCCACTACTACTACCAGTACTACTACTACGACTACGACTACGACTACTACTACTACTACTACTACTACTACTACTACTACTACTACTACTACTACTACTACTACTACTACTACTACTACTACTACTACTACTACTACTACTACTACTACTACTACTACTACTACTACTACTACTACTACTACTACTACTACTACTACTACTACTACTACTACTACTTCCTCTTCCGTGAAGCAAGAATCATCGATTGTACTACGGTTTTCGCCCCCTTTGGCCCTTCTCAGGGGGCTGCGCTCATGAAAGATCCTCTCTTTCTTCAACGCCAAATCATTGATTCTCCGAAGGTTTGGGGCTCCGTTTGCCCTTCTGGGGGGGCAGCGCTCATTGAAACTCCCCTCTTCTTTGATCCCTTCCCTCCAAGATGGCCCCAAGAAGCGCCCAGAAAGCACGAAGAGGCCCCAAGATGGCCCCAAGAGGTCCCCAGGAGGGCCCCAAGATGCCCCCAAGATGTCTCCAAGCGGCCCCAAGAGGCGCCGAAGACGCCCTCAGAGGCCTCCGACCAAAAGACATCCACTACTACTTCTACTCTACGACTACTACTATTACGACTACGACTCCACTACTGCTACTACTACTACTACTACTACTACTACGACTACTACTACTACTACTACTACTACTACTACTACTACTACTACTACTACTACTACTACTACTACTACGACTACGACTACTACTACTACTACTACTACTACTACTACTACTACTACTACTACTACTACTACTACTACTACTTACTAACCACGACTACTACCACCACCAGTACTACTACTACTACTACTACTACTACTACTACTACTACTACTACTACTACTACTACTACAACTACTACGACTCCACCTGCGAAGACCCCGATCACCTCGCACGCGGACGAGGTGCCCGAACGCCTCACCTCACAAGGAGGATAGACAAGGAGGCGGGAGGAAGGAGGAGCAGGGGAGATATGCGGAGCCCAGCGGACACACGCCTGAAAAACACGACTGTCGGCATGCTTCGCGAGAGTTGCTGCTGTGAGATGGGCTGGTGGGGATACGCGAAGCGTAAAGAATTGAAAGTTTTACAGAAAGGGAATGGGACGATTTTTGTGCTTTGAAGGCCCCTTGGAAAGCTCTTTGGGGTGCCTTGGGGGTCTTTGGGCCGTCCGGACGCAATTGGAGTCCCTCTTGGAGCGCTCTTGTGCTGTCTGGGGCCTCCCTTGAGCCTTTCTGATGACCGCTCGGATCGCTCTGGGTCTGCTGGCAATGCGTTTGTGGAGACCCGGAAAGCCGGGTAACCTTGTCCAAGGACGTCCAAGGGAGCCCGAGAACCCCAGATCCCGGGGGGTCAGTTTTGGGGGGGGAGGTTTTCCCCCCCGGGCTTGTAAACATATAGGAAGAGGAATATACATACATACATACATATAATATGTATATATACACATATACATATACATATACATATACATATACATATACATATACATATACATATACATATACATATACATATACATATACATATACATATACATATGCATATATACATACATATACACATATACATACATATACACATACATATACATATACATATACATATACATATACATATATATATATATACATATACATATACACATACATATACAAATACATATGCATATACATATACAGATACATATACAAATACATATACATAGACATATACATATACATATACATATACATATACATATACATATACATATACATATACATATACACATACATATACATATACGTATACACATACATATGCACATACATATGTATGCATATACATATACATATACATATACATGTACGTGTACATATACATATACATACACACATACATACACATATACATATGCATATACATATACAAATACATATACATATACATATACATATGCATATACATTTACATATATACATGTATACATAGACATATACATATGCATAGCCATATATATATCTACATATACATATACATAAGCATATACATAAACATATACATATACATAAACATATACATATATACATATATATATACACATATACATATACATACACATATACATATACCTATACATATACATATACAGAAATCTATACGTATACATATGCATATACATATACATATACATATACATATACATATACATATACATATACATATATATGCATACACATACCTATACATATACATATATATATACTTATGAATATACATATACATGTACATATACATATACATATACATAGACATAGACATAGACCTATACATATGCATATACATATTCATATACATATACATAAATATACACATACACATGTACACATGTATGTATGTGTATGTTTGTGTAAATGTATACATACATCTATAAATGTATGTATATATATATATCCATATATATATATATACATTCTGGCCGCCGCCGCGGCCCGCCCCCCCAGCGCGCCCGCGAGAGGGCGGTGCGTCAGCGCGGCCGGAGCCTGCGCGTACAGGTCCGTCTCCTTGGCAATGAGTTTGATGGCATTCTTGTTCGCGCCTCGGGCGCCGCGCGGGCGAGCCCGTGGCCCAGGCGCCCGCGCGCGCCAGTCTGTTCGATGCGTGGTCCCCAGGGGCCCCCCTGAGGTCTGGACCACTTCTCCCTGGGGTTAGGTCGGGCATGACCTCCTACAGGCGGATTTTGCAAGAAAAACCAAAAACTGTCAAAACAGGTTCAAGAAGCACGGAGAATCGTTGCCAGACTGAGGCTGGCTTTTCGTCCTGAGCGGCTGTGTGGACGGCCCCGAGGCCCGGCGAGGGCCACCAAAGGCAGAAGACGGCAAAAAAGCGGCCGCTCCACTCTCTGTCGGAGCGTCGGATCCCTACGCTTTCGGCCTCTGGGGGCCCTCATCGGGCATCTGGGAGCCCTCACTGGGCCCCCAAGACCGTCAAGAAACGACCCATCGGAGATCTTCTGACCCGTGTCAATCCAGACCCGGGTCAGTCAAACCTTGCAGAAACCTGCAAGATCCTGCAAAATCCTGCACCCAAACCCGGGTCAACGCGAAGGCTCCTGCAAGCTCCTGCAGGATCCTGCTCCCGAGCCCGGGTCAGTGCGACCCTGGCCCTGCAGGATCCTGCCAGGTCGGGCGCTCTGGCCGACCCCCGTTCGCACTGACCCCCGCACGGAGCCCGGGGAGCGGACACGGCCACCGAAGGCCGGCCGCTCCGCGCTCTTCGGAGCCGCGGGGCTCCGGGTGGCCGCGGCGGACGCCGAGATCCGGCGCTGCCAAAAAAATGCCAATGTCGCAAGAATCACAGCCGGAGGAGGAGGAGGAGGAGGAGGAGGAGGAGGAGGAGGAGGAGGAGGAGGAGGGAGAGGAGGAGGAGGAGGAGGAGGAGGAGGAGGAGGATGAGGAGGAGGACGAGGAGGAGGAGGGAGGAGGAGGGGGGAGGAGGAGAAGGAGGAGGAGGAGGAGGGAGGAGGAGGAAGGAGGAGGGGAGGAGGAGGAGGGAGGAGGAGAGGAGGACGAGGAGGAGAAGGAGGAGGAGGAGAAGAAAGAGAGAACGAGGAGAAAAAGGGGGAGGAGGAGAAGGAGGAGAAGGAGATGGAGGAGGAGGAGAATCTCGGCCGGACATCCAGGCTGACGGCCCCCATCGGCGATCAACGGGTGATTGGAGGTCGATGTTTCCACCCCTGTGCCTATCTCCACCCAACGCTGCCCCTGACAGATGACCCCCGCACGAAGAGGAGGAGGAGGAGGAGGAGGAGGAGGAGGAGGAAGAGGAGGAGGAGGAGGAGGAGGAGGAGGGAGGAGGAGGAGGAGGAGGAGGAGAGGGAGGAAGAGAGAACGAGGAGGAGGAGGAGGAGGACGACGAGGAGGAGAAGGAGGAGGAGGAGGAGGAGGAGGACCTCCCCATCCTCCCTGTGGTAGTGGTGGTAGAAAACTGGCCCGTCATCTCAGGGAGCGCCGCACTCGGCGGGCGGGCGGGCGCGCCAGAGGAGGGCTGCGCGGCGAGGGCGTCGGCCTCCCCAACAAGCAGGAGCGGCGGCGAGGTCCGCGCGTGGAGGGGTAAAGCGTGGGACCCTGAGATGCTCGGCGACTCGACGTTTTCGGGCCAGGCGTTGTCGCTCCATCTGAGCATCGTTCAACCGATCCCCATCCCCAGCGGCGTGGCCTGGGCCCCACGGGCCGAGTTATCCCTCTGGATGGGGGGGTATAGGCCATTCCCTTCGGGCTTCGAGGGGTGGGACCCTGAGATGGCGGGTCGCGGCCACGACGGTCGGGAACTTTTGCATAGCGTGCCGCGGCGGCGGCCCCGGCGACACGCGATGCCTTGCAAGCGGATGGCGCGTCGCTCCGCTCCGCGGGGCAGGAGGAGGAGGAGGAGGAGGAGGAGGGCGCCGCCTTAGCAGAGCTGTCCCGACTATGGGGATGGGCGCGCAGCGCCGTAGCGCTCACATTGGGACGTCGAGGAAGCCGTCTTCAAGCACCGACCACTGCTCAGCCGAGAAAGGCAAAAGAAACCAGTTGTCATGTCTCGCATCATACCCTTCCGTTTGTAAGTAGGCGCAACTATCGTCAGCCCACCTCTCGTGCGGACGATTCGGGAGCCTGCCTTTTGCTCGTCTGTCCCTGCTGGCATCACACATAGTAGTGCGCAATGACCATTTCCCAAGAGATACCGCCGTAACCCGGTGGGCGAATCTCCACACCCGTCTTCGCCACAGCGGACACCAGCCTTCAATATTGTTGGAATGTGCATGTCCTTCGATTTGTCTTGTTGTTCTGATAACCCACTCAACCCAGGATTCAACCACCTCTTGCTCGTGCACGCCGTCGCTGTTGAAGGTTGTCGTAGATGTGCTCGCCGACTCGAGGTCCGCCTGAGCTTCCACCGGCTGTCTGCCAGATCCCAGGATCATGCGTAGCATCTTACGTTGAGTTGTGTAGGGTGCGTCGCAATTCCGCCGTCAGCGCCCAGCTGGAAGCTCCGTACATCACCACTGGGGTAACGACGCTGTCGAAAAGCCGCAGGCGACTGGACACAGTGTACCGCTTGCATGTCAGCTCTGAAAAACTCGAGACGCCGACGCCGAGGGACCAGGAAGCAGATCGCGTGTCGCTCCGAAGTGCGGTGGACCAGAATCGGCGGAGCAACACGCCGTCTCACAGTTCCCGAAAGCTCCCGACCACACCCCGTCCGGAGAAGAAGCGATCAGAACTCTCGAGGCCCAGCCCGCCCCTGCCGACTGACCGGGGGAGGAAGAGCAGGGAATACTCCGGGTGGCAGGCACGATGCAGCGCTGCGGGTGGTCCCTCCCCGTGCCCCTCGTAAAGCTGCCGAGCTCGGGAACGGCGGCAAGATCAATCCCGGATCCTTCCCCTGATCCTCCTCCTCCTCCTCCTCCTCCTCCTCCTCCTCCTCCTCCTCCTCTTCCTCCTCCTCCTCCTCCTCCTCCTCTTCCTCCTCCTCCCCCTCTTCCGTTCATTTTTCTGGTGGCCCAATATGCAGAGAACTTCTACTCCATGTCCTCCTCCTCCTCCTCCTCCTCCTCCTCCTCCTCCTCCTCCTCCTCCTCCTCATCCTCATCCTCATCCTCCTCCTCCTCCTCCTCCTCCTCCTCCTCCTCCTTGTCGTCCTCTTCCACATTCTCATCCTCATCCTTATCCTCATCCTGCTCCTGCACCTGCTCCTGCTCCTGCTCCTCCTCCTCCTCCTCCTCCTCCTCCTCCTTCTCCTCCTCTTCCAGCTCTTCCAACTCTGCCAGCTCTCTTTCCTTGTGAATAACTCTTCGCTGTCGCACCCCGAAGCGTGTCGGTAGGGCTGGCCGGGCGTTTCACCCAAGACTTCCGCACCATTTGTGATCCGTAAGCTGAGAATGCCCAACAGATTCACAGACGGGGGGCGGGCCGTTTTCAAGATGTTCCTGTCGCCTGAGCGCCGCGCACATTCGTCTTAACAAATTGCAAGCGCTTCACGGATGGAGGGCGGGCTGTTTCAAAATGTCGCTCTCGCCTTAGCGCCTCGCACATTCGTCCTGAAAGCTTGCAGGGGCTTCACGGATGGAGGGCGGTACCTTCTCAACATGTGGCTCTCGCCTTCGCCCCGCGCACATTCGTCCTAAAAGTTTGAAAGGGCGGTACCTTTTCCAAAGTGTGGCTCTCGCCTGGGCGCCGCGCCTATTCGTCCTGAAAGCTTGCAAGAGCTTCACGGATGGAGGGCGGTACCTCTTGGATCTCGCCTAGACGCCGCGCACATTCATTCGTCTTGAAAGTTTACGACATGTCACGGACTCTTATGGTTGACATCCCAGAATTAACTTGATGGCACGATATACGACTGCCCGAGCGCAACAGTTACGTACGTTGATTCGCGGTGCTGAAGCCCCAGGAATGGTGTTCTGGCACGGTTCAAGACCGTCAGGACACAACAGTAGCGTTGCCTCGCGGCGTTGAGGTCCCACGAAATGGTTTCCTGGCACGGCTCAGGATTCTCAAACGGTTGTCTTCCAACTGGGCATTTCCCCCAGTGACAATGAGCCCGTGTAGGGACCTGTGAAGAGGGAACTCGGAGGGAGGGTTGATTGCGACATCGTTGGTGAGTCATCGGTTCACACTGCTCCTCCACCTCCTGCTCCTCCTCCTCCTCCTCCTCCTCCTCCTCCTCCTCCTCCTCTTCCTCCTCCTCCTCATCCTCCTCCTCCTCCGTCCATCCTCCTCCCCCACCTCCTCCTCCTCCATCCTCTTCCTCCTCCTCCTCCTCCTCCTCCTCCTCCTCCTCCTCCTCCTCCTCATCCTCCACCTCCTCCTCCTCATCCTCTTCCTCCTCCTCCACCTCTTCCTCCTCCTCCTCCTCCACCTCCTCCTGCCAGAAGACACCGAGGCCCGCGCCCACGGTCCCGTCGGAGCCGAACCCGTACAGCACGCTCTGGGCGGTGCCCTCGGGCACCGTGTTCATCGCAGTGTACCTCGGGAGGAGGCAGGAGGGACGACGACGAGGGAGCAGGAGGGAGCTCGAGAAGGAGCACGACGACGGCAGAGAGGGAGAAAAGGAGGAGGGGGAGGGCGGACGGGGGAGGGGCAAGCCAGGTGCGCAAGCGTCACATCCGACGTCCTACCCCTCCCTCCCATCCCTTACCATGGCGTAGATCTCCTATCTATTCGCACAGTCGGATGCCGAGCAGGGCAGTGATCCCAAGAAGGTACGCGATGGATGGGAAAGCATGGCGTAGAAGAGCACGGCAGAGAATAGCATGTCATAGCATGGCGTGGCATTGCGTAGTGAAGAATTGCATCACAAAGCACAACAACGCAAAGCATGGCATCGCGCAGCGGTGCACAACACAGCATGCCGTGGCATGGCATCGGATGACTTGGAGAGAAGTGGCCCGTCTACGAGAGGACAAGGCCTGTCCGGAATGCCAGCTCCATGTCCTCCGCAACCGTGCATGCCCGATGTGGGCGTTTTCGAATGCCGAGTGCTGTCCGGAGGCGCGGGAACGAGGCCAGCGCTGCAGCGGGAGCACGATTTTGAATGACAAAAGTGAAGAAATGATGGCGACGCTGCAGCGGGAGTACCATTTTGGAAGAACCAAAAACGACCGGAATAAAGAAGCACATCAGAAAGAACAAATAATGAAATCCTGTGTAAAAAACAATACGCAGAGAGGACGGGGCACTCTCCGGACGCCCCCGAGGCCCCTGAGGGTGCCCCAAGACAGCACAAAGAGGTGCCTGGGAAGCCCCACGAGGCCTCCAAGAGGCCCCCAAGATGCCCCCAGGAGGCCCCCCAAGAGACCCCCAAGATACCCCAAGAGGCCCCCCAAAAGCACCCAAGACGCCCCAAGAGGCCTCTGCGAGAAGACCGAACACATTGAAAGTTTTGGCCATGTGTTGGCCTCCTGGGGGGGGACCCTGATGTACTACGGCCCCTCCTTTGATCGATCTCCTCCAAGGTGGCCCCAAGATAGCCACCGAGGCTCTCAATGATGCTCCAAGACGGCCCCGAGAGGTGCCCAGAAGCCCCACGAGGCCCCCGAGAGACCCCAAAAATGCTCCCAAGAGACACCCAAGAGGCACCAAGAGGCTCCCCAGAGGCACCCAAGACGCCCCGAGAGGCACTCGGGACTGCCAAGAGACACCCAAGACACCCCAAGGGGACTCAAATAAACATCCATTCTGCTCGCCCCAGGAAGCCCCCAGAGGCGCCCAGGAGGCCCAAGAGGCCCCCAAGAGGCCCCCAAGAGGCCCCCAAGAGGCCCCAAGAGGCCCCCAAGAGGCCCAAAAGAGGACCAAAGAGGCTCCAAAACGGCCCCCAAGAGGCCTCAAAACCGCCTCCAAGAGGCCCCCGAGAGGCCTCCCACGAGCTCCCAACGAACCTCCAATAGGCTGCATACACAACCCAGGCACCGTGGCGGGATGGGCCGGAGGCCATTGAATGTGTGGTGCAATCTATGTTGTGCAATCTATGTGGTGCATATCCAATATGGTGCAATGTTTGTGGTGCAATACGCGTGGTGCAATTTATGTGGCACAGTCTACTGGCGCAATATATGCAGTGCAATCAGGCTCGAAAAACTTGGCATTGTCCACCCCACTAAGCGCCCAACCATCCCACCCACCTGCCCGCAATTCGATTTGTAAAACCCGTGCGGCGATGATTGCGATGACAGCTTGGCGCTGACTGGCGCATTTCTACGGCTGCGCTAGCGCGCGCAAGCTCGCGCGCAGAGCGGCAAGCTAGCTCGCTGACGGCTGGGGACTTACCAGCGCGTCTCGCCGGCCGCGCTGACGCGCGAGTACTTCAGTGCGAGTCGGTGACTTGGGCGGACGCGGTACCGCGGTGACGTCTGCAACAGCGGGCACGATGATGATAGAAGCGATGATGACGACGATGATGACAATCACGACGCGAAAGCTAATGACGGCGCCGATGGTGGTCACGCGGATGACGATGATGGCGTACCCGTGTTGGTGATGAAGGTTTTGGAAAGATATCGGCGTGCGCGCGCGGCCGACACGGGCGAGTGGGCCGCACTGCACTTTTGTGACAGGATCGTGCCCCCCCCCAAGCAAGCGCGCAAGGGCGTTCGAAGCATTCCGGCATGCGCGCGCGAGAGGCCCGCGTGGTCCCATGAGACGCACATGTTTAAAGCAAGCTATGGTTTTCACAATTCGCGATGGCGCGCGAAGCAGATTCGTTGAAAACGAATGCTCCCAAAGCACTGGCTGCATACTTCTTTGTTCGGGAAGCTCGGTCTTGAAATCCGTGCGAAGCCTCGGGTTTTTGAGAAGGTTCGGCACGCGTGCGCGACGACGCGCGCGTGTGGACGATGCCCCATTTCTGCAAGGGGAGATTGAAAACTGATGATTTTTGATAAACGAATGTGCGCGCATAGTACTATTTGACAGGGATGAGGGGCGGGGTCTATGAGGGGACTGCTTGGGATGGTACGACTTCATGTTCAAAATGAGACATGGGGCAGGATCACATGCAAATTGTAGCGTCCCAGGGGGATGCGATAAGCCGAAAGGGGAATCTATGCAGTGCAATCTATGCGGTGCAATTCACTTGCCGAACTTGAAGTTGTCAACTCCACTGCTCGCGCAATCATTCCACCCACCCACCCGCAACTTGGTTTGCAAAATCTCTTAAGACCGTGACGGTGGGTACCAAATGGCACTTGGCAACGACAGCGACGCCGACGACGACAGCGACAACGACGACGACGACGCCGCCGACAACGACTACGACGACACCGACGACGTCTCCAACGACTTCGACGACGCCGACAACGACGACGACGACGACGACGACCGACGACGACGACGACGCCGACGCCGACGACGACGACGACGATGACAACGACGACGACGAAGACGACGACCGACGACGCGACGACGCCGACGCGACGGACGACGACGACAACGACGTCGAGACGACGACGAAACGACGACGACGACGACGAGACGACGCGACGTCGACGACGCCGACGACGACGACGACGACGACGACGCCGACGCGACGACGACGACGACGAGACGACGACGACGACGCCGAACGACGACGACGAGGGAGGAGGAAGGACGACGACGGCGACAACGACGACAACGACGACAACGACGAGGGAGGAGGGAGGACGGCGACGACGCGAACGACGAAGAAGGAGGAAGGACGGCGACGCCGACGACGACAACGACGAGGGAGGAGGGAAGACGACGACGACGACACGACGACGACGACGACGACGACGACGAAATAGGAGGGACGACGACGAGACGCCGACGACGGACGACGACGACGACGAGGGAGGAGGAGGAAGGACGACCACGGCGACAACGACGACGGAAACGACCACGACGCCAAAGAGGACGACGACGACGACGACGACGACGAAGACGAACACGAGGAAATACACAGGACGACGTAGGCGACGACGACGACGACGCGGGAGGAGGGAGGACGGTGACGACGACGACGACGACGACGACGACGACGACGACGCCACAAGAGCGCGCGCGCACGCATTTGTTGAAAATCCGTGTTGCGTAACCTTGTGATTTTGTAGGTTTTTTGGACGCGCGATTTTGAAATCCTTCCGAAACCGAACAGTTTTGAAGGATTTCGGCATACGCGCGCGACGACGCGCGCGTCTGCACTTCGTCCCATTTTTTGCAGAGGATTCTCGCGACGGCACACGCGCAAGGGCGTTCGACAGATTTCGACATGCGCGCGCGACGCCCGTTTGGTAGCATGTTGTGAAAATCTTGAAAACCAATGGTTTTCTTAAGATTTCGCAAGAGCTCGCGCGTAAGCTTTTTTAGCAAATCTGTGTTGCGAAACCCTGTGTTTTTGTATGATTTTTGGAAACTCGATTGCGAAATCCTTCCGGCACCGAAGGTTTCTGGAGGATTTCGGCATGCGCGCGCGACGACGCGCGCTTGTGCACTCCGTCCCATTTTTTGCAAGGGATTCGCGAAAAAGTGTTATGTTAGAACACAAGATGTCCCCGCGTATCGTTTTTTACAAGGGAACCTCAGGGGGGGGGAACCCGGTTGGCCTGGGACATTGTGATTTCATATTTAGGATGGACATGTGGTCAGAATCACAATGATTTACATACGCGAAAGGGGGACCGATAACGCCGGGGGGGGATAGAGTCTATTCTCTTTTTAGACAGGATAATCAATCACTTGCCGAACTTGAAGTTGTCAACTCCACTGCTCGCGCAATCATCCCACCCACCCACCCGCAACTTGGTTTGCAAAACCCATGCGGGACCGAGCACAGATATCGCTCCGGGGTCGTCTTGGAGCCCTCGGGGGCGTCTCAAGAGCGCCCCAAGAAGGCCGGAGAAACAAGACGGCCGACGACGACGACGACGACGACGACGACGACGACGACGACGGCGGCGACGACGACGACGCCGACGTCGACGACGACGAAGACGACGACGCCGACGCCGCCGACGACGACGAAGACGACGACGACGACGTCGCCAACGAAGACGACGACGACGAGGGAGGAGGGAGGACGACGACGGCGACAACGACGATAACGACGACAACGACGACAACGAGAGGAGGGAGGACGGCGACGACGCGAACGACGAAGAAGGAGGAAGGACGGCGACGCCGACAACGACAACGACGAGGGAGGAGGGAAGACGACGACGACGACGACAACGACGACGAAGACGGCGACGAAATAGGAGGGACGACGACGAGACGCCGAGGACGGACGACGACGACGACGACGACGACGACGAGGGAGGAGGAGCAAGGACGACCACGGCGACAACGACGACGGAAACGACCACGACGCCAAAGAGGACGACGACGACGACGACGACGACGACGACGACGACGACGACGCCACAAGAGCGCGCGCGCACGCATTTGTTGAAAATCCGTGTTGCGTAACCTTGTGTTTTGTAGGTTTTTTGGACGCGCGATTTTGAAATCCTTCCGAAACCGAACAATTTTGAAGGATTTCGGCATACGCGCGCGACGACGCGCGCGTCTGCACTTCGTCCCATTTTTTGTAGAGGATTCTCGCGACGGCACACGCGCAAGGGCGTTCGACAGATTTCGACATGCGCGCGCGACGCCCGTTTGGTAGCATGTTGTGAAAATCTTGAAAACCAATGGTTTTCTTAAGATTTCGCAAGAGCTCGCGCGTAAGCTTTTTTAGCAAATCTGTGTTGCGAAACCCTGTGTTTTTGTATGTTTTTTGGAAACTCGATTGCGAAATCCTTCCGGCACCGAAGGTTTTTGAAGGATTTCGGCATGCGCGCGCGACGACGCGCGCGTGTGCACTTCGTCCCATTTTTTTGCGAGGGATTCGCGAAAAAGTGTTATGTTAGAACAAAAACTGTCACCGCATAGTGTTTTTTACAAGGGAACCTCAGGGGGGGGGGATACCGGTTGGCCTGGGACATTGTGATTTCATATTCAGGATGGACACGTGGTCAGAATCATATGTGATTTACATACCCGAAAGGGGGGGCGATAACGCGGGGGGGGGGGTAGAGTCTATTAGAAAGGAGAATCTATGCGAGGCGGCGGCGGGGCGGCGACGTGGCGGCGACGGCAGGCACAACACTCAGGCCCAGACGACGGGCGGCGACGAGGCGGCGACGGGGCGGCGACGGCGGACACAAAGCCGCCAGAACTACACTCAGGCCTAGACGACGGGCGGCGACGAGGCGGCGACGGGACGGCGACGGGACGGCACGGAGCCGCTGGACCGGCACATGGGCCCAGCTCCTCAGAAAACACACAAGAGCCCCTAAGTGCATGCACTGCTTAGGGAAAAAAGGGCAATGATACAAACTCTCAGAGTTCCGCACGTCGGCGCTGGACCTCCCAACGTTCATGCGTATGCCGCTTGTGATCGCTCGACCGAGATCACCTCATGGTAGAAGGTGCGCTCCCGATCAGCGAAAGCCTGCCACCGCGAAGCTCGCCGGCGCAGCGAGCGAACGGCGCAGCTCTGTCCGCCGCCCCGCGCCAGCCCCCAGGCTGCTGAGGCTGGCCTCTGGGCGGCCTCTCGCAGAGGCCGCTCTCGAAGGATCCGCGCATAGCCCAGAACAGCCGGTCCAAACCGACCCCGAGGCAGCCCACGGCTGGCCGACGGCGGCGCTGGGGCAGCCCAAGAGGGCTCCCAGCTTCAAAAGCGGCGGCCTGCACCGCGCATCTCCGCTGAACGATAGTCCCGCCCGTTGGTCGGAGACCTCCCACATGGGATCCGGGCAGGTGGTGTCGGAGGATCGCGCCGCATCGCCGATGGATCTACGACGTCGGCGATGCATCGGCGCCGTCGGCGTGGAGAAAACTGGGCTCCAAATCGAGCGGCATCGGCGATACATCGGCGATACTGCGCGATCCTTCGACCCCATCTACGCTGGCCCCAGTTGGGCGGCCAGGATTAAAGCCCCGAGGGCCGTCGGCTGGCTCGTCCCACCTTCCAGCCCGAGCGCTAGGCGGCCCACTTCAGGCTCAGGAAAGTGACGTCGTCCTCGAAGCCGATCGTGAATGGGTGCTGCGGCTTCGACTGCGCCAGGTTCTCGAAGATGGAGTGGCACCTCGGCCGTCGCTGCCACGCCAGGAGGGCGGGGAGCCCAGCGCGGTCTGCCGCTGATTCACGCCCCACCCAAGGATCCAGGGGCGCCTTCACCCAAGGACGCCCCACCCGAGGACGCGTGCTCCCAGCAACGTCGCTGGGGCAACCTGGCCCACAAGGCAACCGTGTACTGTAGAGCGGCCCTGTTGGTGCAGGGTAGCCTCTGGACCCCCCCGGCAATCCCACCAGCCCTCTGGGCGTCGGTGGTTTAGGGCGTTTCCTCTTCCACCCCTCCCTCTTCCCCTTCGGGGAGGGGTTTACCCCTCCCCCTACCCCCTCCCCACTGACCTGGACAGGAGGGGCGGGGAGCGGTCAGAGCGTCCAAAACGGCCTCGGCGAGGAAGCCAAAATCATTGATTTTACTATGGTTTTGGCCCCATTTTGGCCTTCTGAGGGGGCAGGGCTAATTAAAGCTCCCCTCTTCTTTGATCGATTTCCTCCACGATGGCCGCAAGAGGCCCCCAGGATGCCCCAAGAGGCCGCAGGATGGCCCCAAGATGGCCCCAAGAGGCCCCCCAAGAGGCCCCCAGGAGGCCCCAAAGAGACCCCCAAGAGGCCCCAAGAGACCCCCCAGAGGCACCCAAGGTGCTCCCAGAGGCCTCGGCGATAATGTCAAACCATTGTTTGCACTAAGGTTTTAGCCACATGTTGGCCTCTTGGGGGGGGCACTGATTAAGATGACTCCAAGAGCGCCTCGGAGAGCCCAAAATGACCTCCAAGATGGCTCAAGAAATCCCAAGATGTCTCATACTGGCTTCCTCTGTGTGCTGTCCACTTCCCTGATCGAGGCAATCCCACCAGCCCTCTGGGCGTCGGTGGTTTAAGGCGTTTCCCCTTCCACCCCTCCCTTTTCCTAATGGAAGAGTCTTCCCCCTCTTCCATGAGGAAGAGGGGGAGAAGAACAGCTGCCGATCATCGGCGCTCTTCGTTCGAGTGCCTGGTGTAGGATGGGCTGGTGGGGATACGCGAAGCGTCTAGAATTTCGAAGATGGGAAACGTACGGGTAAGGGGGGATGTTTCAGAGATGATGTTGCTCCCGTTGTCGTACCCTGTCTCAAGAATAGGCATGTCCCCAGCGCAGTCCCGGTCCAGAGGCCTCATGACAGAGAGGAGCATGCATCATTCATGCCAACTGTTTGCTGCCTCCTCCTCTTCCTCCTCCTCCTCCTCCTCCTCCTCCTCCTCCTCCTCCTCCTCCTCCTCCTCCTCCTCCTCCCCCTCCCCCCCCTCCCCCTCCCCATCCCCCTCATCCTCTCTCTATCTCTCTCTCTCTCTTTCTCTCTCCTCTCTCTCGTACTGCCTCCTATGTGGTGTCTCTTGCCTCTCCTGTCCTGCTCGATGATCCTCAGAACGTATCTTAGCGCCAACGTGTGCTTGTCCACCGAAGCCCGTCGATACGACGCGGGCGGCGCAACGAGGGCCGACACAGGCTGCGCGATGTCGGTGGAGCTGGATGGGGGAAACGCACGTCCTGAGGATCATCGACCCGTATCCCTCGCACCGTCCGCTAAAGAGGAAGAGAAGAGCGCGGCGTCAAACAAATTACATTCTCCTGGCGGAGGACCCAACCATATGCGATTGTGAATATCGCCGTTGTGGGTATCGCCTTCGGCGGATCTTCTTGTGGGGCCACGAGGCGTGTAAAAGATGTGTCGAAATGGGGCGGGGCTACCATGAACCATGAGCGCTGCCACTGAGGCCGTAGGCATCCCCCCCTTTCGGGCCACGAAACGGGTGAGGAGTGTGCCGACATGTAGCGGGGCCGCCATGCGAACGTCGCCACTGGGGCCTTCGGTGGAGCTCCCTGTGGGGCCACGAAACGCGTGAGAGGTGTGCCGAAATTAGCGGGGGGACGCATGCGAACGTCGCCACTGGGGCCTTCGGTGGAGCCCCCTTTATGGGGCTACGAAACGCGAGAGGGGTGTGCCGAAATGGAGCGGGGGACGCATGCGAACGTCGCCACAGGGGCCTTCCGTGCCACCTTATAGGGCCACGAAACGCGTGAGGGGTGTGCCGAAATGTGCGGGGGGGACGCATGCGAACTTCGCCACTGGGACCTTCGGTGGAGCTCCATTTGGAGCCACGAAACGCTGTACTGGGTGGAGCGGACGCAAGTGCTCACAGCCACTGGGGCCTTCGGTGGAGCTCCCTACGCGGCCACGCCACGCTGTACTGGGTGGCGCGGACGCAAGTAATCACAGCCACTGGGGCCTTCGGCGGAGCTCCCGATGGGGCAACGCGACACGCTGTACTGGGTGGCGCGGACGCATGTAATCACAACCACTGGGGCCATCGGCGGAGCTCCCTGTGGGGCTGCGCCACGCTGTACTGGGTGGCGCGGGCGCATGTGATCGCAGCCACCGGGGCCTTCGGTAGAGCTCCCTATAGGGCCACGAAAAGGTATACTGCATGTGCTCACAGGCCCTGGGGCCTTCGGTAGAGCTCCCTTTGGGGCCACGCCACGCTGTACTGGGTGGCGCGGACGCATGTAACTAATCACAGCCACTGGGGCCTTCGGCGGAGCTCCCGATGGGGCAACGCGACACGCTGTACGACGCATGTAATCACAGCCACAGGGGGCATCAGCGGAGCTCCCTGTGGGACCGCGCCACGCTGTACTGGGTGGCGCGGACGCAGGTGATCACAGCCCAGCCACTGGGGTCTTCGGTGGAGCTCCCTTTGGGGCCACGCCCCAAGCTATACTGGATGGCGCGGACGCATGTGCTCACAGGCACTGGGGCCTTCGATGGAGCTCCTTATGGTGCCACGAAACGCTGTATTGGGGCTGTGCGGATTCATGCGAACGTCGCCACTGGGGCCTTCGGTGGGGCTCCATATGGGACCACGAAGCGCTGTATTGGGTGGCGCGGACGCATGTGATCACAGCCACTGGGGCCTTCGGTGGAGCTCCCTATGGGGCCACGAAACGCCGTACTAGGTGGGGAGGGGGAGGGGCGGGAGGAGAAGGAGAAGGAAGGAACGCGGGGCGCTGTCTCTTCAAAACGAGGACCCAACACCGCTGGACGGTTGGGAAAAATCCAGGCAGGGGGGGACGCTTCAACAGGTTGCCACAGGATCCCCCTGGGGGGCGCCACCAGACGGCCAAGAGGTCCCGAGGGGCCGGCAAGAATGCCCCGAGAGGACCCGAGAGAGCCCCAAGAGTCCAAAGTGGCCTCGAGGCAGCCCCTGGTCTCCGGTCGGCCCGAGCAGGCCCCACGAGATCACCAAGAGGGTCCCAAGTCGCCCCAAGAAGGCAGCAAAGGATGGACGATCCCAAGAATAGCCGATGCGTTCTTCTGTTATATAGTCGCCCCACGTGCTCCCGAGACGTCCCAAGGTGGTTCAAGACGGCCGGCAGAGGCCCAAAGATAGCTCCGAAATCGCACATGAGGGCCACAGGGTGGCCTCCCGAGGCCCCAAGACGCCACCAACATCGCCCAAGACGGGCCGGAAGGCCCAAAGATGCCCCCAGGCAGCCCCAATCAGGCAGCAACAGTGGTTCTGGAGAGAGAGCCCATTTGGTGGCCCGAAGGTGTCCCCACAGCGGTCCTCCTCCTCTTCCTCCTCCTCCTCCTCCTCCTCCTCCTCCTCCTCCTCCTCCTCCTCCTCCTCCTTGACCCAAGAAAGCCCCAAAAAGATACAAGGTTGTCCAGGGATATGCCCGAGGCGGCTCCGCACGGGGGTAGCCAGCTGCAGAGCGCGCAGCCCTAACAAAGCGCTTACCAAGCTCCTGGTGCGGGCGAGGCAGACGCGTGCTGAATGCGTGATGCGCCCTTCTCTAAGTGAACACTAATGCTGGCACATTACCGTTAGCGTCTTGAACCAGGGTTGCTACAAGCTTTGTGTGTGCCTTCTGAAAGTTCTGAAAGCACGCTCAGTGCCTGCACGTGTGCTTGCTCAGCGCTTACAACGCGCGTGCGAACTGATTGACGAGCGCGTGCTGTTCATTTGCAAATGTACGCAAATGTGTCCAGTGATTGCGAGCATGAATTTTACATTGCGATTGCCTAATAGACTGCCGCTTCCCGAATTCGGGGTAACGCTAACCTCTTGTAGCACGATTAATATTCGGCGCCGCGTATTGCTGCAGGCATTCACGCTGCCAAACACTCAAAATATTCAAGTACTAATCTCCATCATCAATCGTTTGCAGGCGCTATGATGCAAAGTCCAGGCAATCGATGTTTCATGGGGCAACTCAAAAAATCTCGCCGACAATAGTTAAGTTGCATGCCTTTCCTGTGTGCATTCCGCCATGTCTTGACGAAATCTGGCTTGGACAATGCTCGGTTGCTCAGTTCTCCAGGAGTGGTCGCTCGAGAAAGTCTACTTACCCAGCAACGCAAGACTCTCACACAAAAGCATTGCCCCTTCGGAGAAGTGAAAACCGGGAGAATTTCGTCGATCCGAATTCGGTCCGAGTTTACGAATTTCGAATCGTCCGTCATCGTCATCGTCCTCCTTCCCCCCTCGTCCGCCCTGCGCGCATTTGGCACGTCGTCGCCGTCTTGCCGCGCATCTGGCGCGTTTCCTGCCCGCCGGATGACGCGTTTGGCGTCGCCAGCACGCTCGCCACACTGCCTTGCCCACGCGCGTTTGGCGCATGGCCGCTTCCTTCGTCCATCGCAGATGAGATGATGAGACACAATGCGTTGCGGCACGAAGCGATGCTCCTCGGGCGGTCGGCCTCCGCAGAATTCGGCCTCGGAGCTCCTCGCGCCTGCCCGGCGGCCACGCGGCCAAAAGATGGACGGGCGCCAGGGCTGCGAGACAGGGAGAGGAGAGGGGGAAGAGACAGAGCGAGGGGCAGGGAGGGAGAACAGAGAGGGAGGGAGAGGGCAAGGGAGAGAGAGAGAGAGAGGGAGGGAGAAGGAGAAGAAGGGAGGGAGAGAGAGGGAGGGAGAGAGAGAGAGAGAGAGAGAGACAAGTCAACCGAACCTCCCCCGCTGCTGCCCCTGGGCGGAGCCCGGCACATGCCCGTGGTGAAGTCCTTGCTCGCCAGGCCGTAGCGGCCACCGATCACCTGGCCGGTCGGCGTCGGCTGGGACCGCGGCGCGCTTGGAGGGATCCACCTGGCCAGGAGGAGCGTCCCCGCGGCGTCATGCCGCACCTGCGCCCTGTGCGCAAGCCCAGCGCAGGTACAGCCAAAACCGGTCACAGAGGAGCGAGAGTAAAGGAGGCGAGAGCCGCCCAGGAAACGCCGGAGGCTGCCCATGGCACCGAGGGCACCGACGCCAGAGCTGCCAGGGAAGCCAGGGACCGGGGCGCCAGGATCCGTTGCTTCTTGCAACCGGCCTACAGCCCTTTTCCAAGTCAGCTCCACTTCAAGTAATTATGAGTTGCCCAACGCGAATGTCTGCCGTGTGAGATCCCAAAGATCAGGAGGAAAAGAAACACACAGACACAATTAATCCGCGATTCCCCAGAAAACATGGGAAAATATGGGAAGTGGGGGGGAAGACAAAAACCCAGAAAATATGGGAAAATATTGGAAATCTTTTATTTGTGTGTATTTATTTGTGTGTCCTGGGGCCCCTTCAAAAGAATGGCATCCATGGGCCTTGCGTTCGGAGGCCCATCGGCGATCCGAACATGGGTTCGTTGTCGCGAAGCACGGCTTCCGCGCGGGTGAAGCGCTGCCGCAGGGCTGCGCGCGCGCGCTGGTACAGCGGCGTCCTACGCGGGCCTCACGGGGCTGGCCCGAAAGCGCGCTCGGGCTCGAACGCTGACCGAGCTGGCGCACGTTCGGGGCAACCAGGGGATGAACAGAGGCTCAGCCGAGAAAGTGTTCTTGTGCAAGGAGACCTTCAGCGGAAGGCTGCCCCATCTTCGGGCGCGTCGGACAGGACCCGAAAGAAGTTGTTCGCACAGGTGCCACGCAGATTGATCACTCCGGAACTGGCCGGTAAAGCTTTCGGGTCGCATCGGGATCAGACCCAAGAAATTTTCGGAGGACGTCGTGTGCGGTTCGCTATTCTTCGGATCCATACAACGTTTGTGATGTAGCAACTCTAAACTGGGAGCCGAGACCCGATTCCAGCCTGGAGGGGAGGAGCTGGACTTACGTTGTGATGGGCCCCTGCGGCAGGAGGAGCAGGGGAGGAGGAGCAGGAGGAGGAGGAGGAGGAGAAGGAGGAGGAGGAGGAGGAGGAGGACCAGTGCAAATCCAAGAGTCATCAACGATGTAGGAGTTAACACTCCATCCAAGCTCCCTCTTCATAGGCCCCTACAACGGTTCATTTCCTTTCAGAGGACCGCCTCGTTGGAAGACAACAATTTGAAGATCATGAAGCGTGCCAAAACATTGTTCTCGGGATTCCAACGCCACGTATCAACCTGACTGCTGCGTCTTGACGATCCAGAGTCATGCCAGAACGCCATTTTGGGGACTTCAACACAGCGAATCAACATAACTGTTGCGCCCACGTAATCCTCAATCCTTCCAAAACACCATTTCTGGTGCGCTGATCATGGGAATCCGTGAAAATCGTGCAAATGTTTAAAACGAATGCGCGCGGCGCTAAGGCGAGCGCCACATGTTTAAAACGACACGCCCTCAATCCGTGAAACTATTGCAAACTTGACAACGAATGTGCGCGGCGCTAGTGCGAGAGCCACATTTTGAAAACGACCCGCCCTCAGTCCGTGAAAATCTTGCACATGTTTGAAATGAATGTGCGCGGCACTAAAGCAGGAGCCACATTTTGAAACGACCCGCCCTCTCGTGAAAATCTTGCAATTCGTTTTAAACGAATGTGCGCGGCGCTAAGGCGAGAGCCACATTTTGAAAGCGCCCTGCCCTCAATCTGTGAAACTACTGTCACTTCTTAAGCTTCAGAATCATGAGACGGTGAGGAAGTCTCAGGCGAAACGCCTGGCCCGCCCTAAAAACTGGCCTCGGGGTGCGACAGAGAGGAGTTATCTATAAGGAGAAGGAATGGAGGAGGAGGAGGAGGAGGAGGAGGAGGAGGAGGAGGAGGAGGGAGCTCGGGACGACCCATGCGCCCCCCGCGAGGAGCCCAGCGAGGCGCACCCACGGGCAAAAACACGCAGGGGGCCTGCCTCCCGACGCCGGCGGCACGTGCTCTCCAGTGGTCCACCGGCCCCCCGCCTGCCTCTCGAGCAGGGGATCTACTACAGAATTGAAGTACCCCTGACATGTTTGTTTCATCGAATCCATCTTGCCTTGCACACCCGCATTGTGTCAGGGAGCTGGTGTACGCGGACGACACTCTCCTTCTCGACGCCAACCCAGGCGTCATCCAAGATCTGATGTCGTGCATTGAGGAATCCGGGCGACATCATGGACTTAGCCTGAATTGGCGCAAGGTTAGAGTGATGCGCGTTCGCACCAGAGCCCATCTTATCAATAGCGCAGGTGAGGCGGTGAAAGAAAACAGCATCCTAATATGTGTAGGTGCTTTGTTGTCCGCAAATGGCCGGAACGTCGCGGAACTCAACCGTAGACCCGGCGCGGCCAGGCAAGATTTCAACATGCTGAGCGCCATCTGGTCGCATTCGACATTGAGTCGCTGCCAAAAACGTGCGCATGTTTAACGCATGCGTAATCTCGAAACTAACCTATTAGTTGTTTGCAACATGTCTGAATCAAGCGGAGCCGGAGATTAGACGGATTTCAAGCCCAATGTTTGAGGAAGATTTTCCGCGTGCCACACTCGCATTACAACAGAAATTCGAATAACACTGATGAGCATAGCAGTGTAGCGGCCTTTGAGCGAAGAAAACTGTAAACAGCAGATGCTCTTCATAGGCAAGTTTGCGAGACACCCCAGCATAGGCCGGGTGCGCATGCCTGTGCTTGAACCTGGCAGCACTGACATACGAGCACCATCATGACCTCAGAAGAGAGGCCGGCCCCGACAGAATTGGGCCAACATGGTGATAAACAATTGTCTGCGTGTGGCCGGCTCCGCAGCTCGCCTTGCTGATTACTTCCGCCTGGAGGGAGGTGCAGCGCGAGCTTGGGAGTCGGCCGCGCGTTCGTGGCACATGTAGTGCATTTTTCCATCTCTGCTAGCTCACCGTCTGGTGCAAAGCTTCTGACTGACTGATATCGAATCGAATCCATGAAAATGCTACGTCTTTTCTTGTAGATTCGACGAGGAACTCAATCTTTGGGTAAATCAATTCTGTTGTCTAACCCCTGAGGTCTGGCACTGCCAGGCCGCATCGCGATGGCGTCTGACCAGATCCGGTGATGTGGCCGATTCCGGGGCTCCCACGGGCCCCCCGCAGGTGCCAATGAGTTCCGATTGTCCGCCGACCCCCGCCTGGACGATTTTCCCCTGGAGCCATAGGCGACCCGAGGAGGGGAAGGCGAGAAGGGGGAGGAGGAGGAAGAGGAGGAGGAGGAGGAGGACGACGACGACGAGGAGGAGGAGGAGGACGAGGAGGATGAGGAGGAGGAGGAGGAGCAGGACGAGGAGAAAAAGGAGGAGGAGGAGGAGGAGGGGGAGGGGAGGAGGAGGACGAGGAGCAGGAGGAGGAGGAGGAGGAGGAGGAGGAGGAGGAGGAGGGAGGAGAGGAGGAGGGAGGAGGAGAGGAGGAGGAGGAGGAGGAGGGAGGAGGAGGAGGAGGGAGGAGGAGATGGAGGTGGAGGAGGAGGAGGAGGAGGAGGAGGAGGAGGGAGGAGGAGGAGGAGGAGGAGGAGGAGGAGGACCAGTATAAACCCAAGAGGCATCAACGATGCTGGAATAAACCCTCCCTCCAAGCTCCCTCTTCATAGGCCCCCTAGAACGGTTCATTTCCATTGAAGGAACCGCCTCATTGGAAGAGAAACGTTTGAAGACCCTGAACCATGCCAGAGCATGGTTCTCGGGTTTCCAACGCCAAAGATAAACCTGACTGTTGCGTGTTGATGATCCTGAATCGCGCCAGGACGCCATTCCTGGGATTTCAACACAGCGAATAAACGTAACTGTTACGCCGCCCCGTAAACCTGAATCCTTTCACTACATAATGTCTGGAACGCTGATGATGGGAATCCGTGAAACTCTCTGCAATGTTTTAAAACGCACGCGCGCGGCGCTCAGGCGAGAGCCACATGCTGAAAAGGAACCGCACTCAATCCGTGAGATTCTCGCAAAGTTTGACAACGAATGTGCGCCGCGCCAAGGCGAGAACCACATTTTGAAAACGACCCGCCCTCAATCCGTGAAGCTGTTGTGAATGTTTAAAACGAATGTGCGCCGCGCTGAGGCGAGAGCCACATTTTGAAAATCATCCGCCCTCAATCCGTGAAGCTCTTGTCATTGCTTAAAACGATGGTGCGCCGCGCTAAAGCGAGAGCCACATGTTGAAAACGACCCACCCTTAATCCGCGAAATTATTGTAATGTTAAACAACGAATGTGCGCCGCGCCAAGACGAGAGCCACAGTTTGAAAACCACCCGCCCTCCATCTGTGAAACTCTTGCGATGTTTAAAAAACGAATGTGCGCCGCGGTAAAGCGAGAGTCACATTTTGAAAACGACCCACCCTCCATCTGTGAAACTGCTGACAAGTGTTAAGATTGAGAATCGTAAATGGTGAGGAAGTCTCAGGCGAAACGCCCGGCCCGCCATAAAAACTGGCTTCGGGATGCGACAGGGAGAGATGATTGGTAAGGACGAGGCATGGAGGAGGAGGAGGGAGGAGGAGGAGGAGGAGGAGGAGGAGGAGGAGGAGGAGGAGGAGGAGGAGGAGGGGAGGAGGGGAGGAGGAGGAGGAGGAGGGAGGAGGAGGAGGAGGAGGAGGAGGAGGAGTTGGAGCAGGAGGAGGACGGGTCGCCTAAGCACTTCGGAGAAACCCTCCGCCACGGGCCCCCCGCGGGCGCCACTGAGTTCCGCCTGTGCGCCGACCCCCGCCTGCCCGCGGGTGAGAGAGCGCGCGAGGTGGTTGGCTGTCAACACTCCTCTGAAGGGGCCCACCACCACCACTAAGCCGTGCATCCTGCGGGACGCGTGGGCGGAGGAGCGCGCGATTGGCGACTCTTCAGGAAATCCACAACAGAGGGCGAGCACG